CTTTTTCTCTCTTCAATAAGGTGCTTCGCATAGTTTGCATGATGACGGATAACTCCGCATTTTGGATTTTGGCTATGATGGCTTCTATGCTCATCGTTATGGGTAAAGATAAAAAGATATTTAGGTTAACGATGATATAATTTTATTATTCGCAATCGGTGCTACAAATGTTTCGACAGCCTAGCTGTCTTCTTCTTCCTCTTTTACTACGGACCTTGGACACCTGGTTTTGTACTCAAGCTCTTACTTCTGGAAAAATTCTATTAATTGTAAGTTTTTTGAAACAATTAAATTATGTTCTAACATCTATAACATATTTTTAGTTTAATAAAGAATTTAGCCAACAATCGCCGACGAAGCGTATATTCTCGAATAACAAAATAAAATATATGAGACTGAGATGAGACTGATATGAATTTTGTAACCATCTATTTCTAAAAGTATAACCCGATACATGTTTACTATTTTGTTGTTATTTGATTGTAAAAGTTTAAGAAAACTGTTTCAACATTGCCTACATGTAGATCTCACAAGATCCCCACATATCTGACGGTAATATTCTTGTCATTTAATTTTAATTTAAAAATCTTTGAATGAGTCATCATTGAATTGAGTTCATCATTGACCTTTTCTTTACGGTTTTAGTCGTGCCTGAAGAAGACAGCTAGGCTGTCGAAACATTTGTAGCACCGATTGCGAATAATAAAATTATATCGTCGTTAACCTGAATATCTTTTTATCTTTACCCATAACGATGAGCATGGAAGCCATCATAGCCAAAATAATGTTTGAAATTGAAGATGGCGTTGGAAAAAATTTATTTGTAGCATGAATCATAGTATTTATAAAACCATTTTATATGATACCTGGGTCATGAAAATCGGAATGTAAATAACAGAGTTACAGGTTGGGGCGTTTTTTGTGTGACACCTGTATATTGTACTCTTATAAAAGGTACATTTTTTCGATATTAATTGTCATTTTTTGGGGTTCAACCCTGCTTGGTTAAAGACTAATTTTGACTATTTCATTCATATCGTTAACAGCCAATAAGAATTGGCGGTTTTCCGTCAATTGCGAGTATTTCAGCGGTTATTTGGCCGTAACCATGGAGAACGATAATACGAACCTTTGTATTATCGCTGTAATACGAACCTTTGTATTATCGCTTGTTTGACATTTAATTAATTTCGAGACATCCATGCATGTTTCCATAACAATCAATGTAATTTATTAAAAAAATATAAAAATTCTAAAAATATGTATATTTTTTATTCATGAAATAGTCTAGCCATATACAACACGACAATCGAAAATACTCGAATCTCGACGTATTGCCTTAAAAAACACCACTCGACCTTCGGTCTCGTGGTGTTTCAGGCAATACGTCTCGTATTATCGAGTATTTTCGATCGTCTTGTTGTATAATATATGAACATATTATCAATTTTTAAAAAACGAGTGAGCCTTGACAGTGAAAGAAAAACTCTTTTTGTGGCAGGTCAAGTACCTTTTCTGTTTATAGTACGTGAAAGTGTTACTAAGAAGTTTTGTTCAGAATGAAAAACTGTGGCCATATGCATATTTTCGGAATGATCGGCCTATTTTAAAAAAATCCATATCAAACAATTTTATTTCTAACAGACTGCCATGGAAAAACTAAATTGCTTTCCTGCCACAGTTAATCTGTCAAACTGTAATTTAGTAAACTTAAAGTGTTTTTTAAATACAATGTTAACATTAGAGGAAAAAGTTTACGTGATTCAGTGTTATGGAACCGGGGAAAAACCGATAAATATGGTTATTGCTTTATTTAGTGAAAATTTTCCAAATACTGGATTTAAAAGAAGTACTTGTTGGCATTTAATCAAAAGATTCCTTACAGCAGAAAGTATTCACTCTAACAAGGGAAGTATCAGAACTGTCCCTCACCGATTTTGTTGAAATTTGGTACAGCGATAGTATGGCCAAAAATAAGGTTTACGTATTTTTTTATACGTGCTAAAAATCGGGGCGAAATATATATATTCGCTTACAGGTTGAAAACGAAAATAGTTATCGAAATGTAGTAAATGTAAACTGATATTCATTTTCAAAGAGCTTTCCATTGATATATCACACATATATCTGAGGGCTTCAGGGGGTAAACTACCCCTAGTTTTTTGGAATATTTTAAAAACTACCCTGTCGATTTTGGCGGTATTATGTATCCTTATAGTACGTTTAAAAGTATTAATGACATGTTTTTTCTTATTTGCTTCTGACCATCCCCTGCAAAGTTACGGGGTATGATAGATAACCCCTTTCCTTAAGAATAATGTGATAAACTGTTACACTTTTGAACAATATTTTGAAGAAAACCATTAATTAGATGTAAATTAAAATTTACGCAGTAAAATAAACCCTATACGATATTAAGGGGGGACATTAACTACCCTAACCACACCAAAATTTTTTTTTTTTTTGCGAAAATTGTTTGTTGATTTTGGTGCAATTTCCCACGATGATTTTTTTATACGTTAGGTAGTACTATTGTAAGAACTTACAAGGGTTAGAAGTTTGGGGTAGAAAATATATTTTCGCTAATAACTTTTATAACTATTTAAATAACACAAAAGTTAGGATAATTATATAAATATTTATTAATAATGAGTTAAAAAGTAACTGACAAAAGAACAAAAACATTACAATATATATATTGTAATGTTTTTCCAAATGGACCGCAAATAGTCCCTCTTTTTTTGAAGAGAATTATTTTAATGAAAACAACATTACTAAATTTTATAATAATTTATTTTTTTATTAAGTTGAAAAAAATTTAAATATTTAAACAGAATTGTCAAATTATCTCAGGGTTGAAGGGCAGGTTCTGGTAATACTGTCAAGACAAACATGTGCACAACTTAAGGTGCAATCAAATTGAGATGTTGTCGACAAAATTAACAAAATATACTGATTATATAAACAAATATTCTAAATTAGTTGATTCGAAGTAATATTTATCAACTCAGATATGTTATGGTCTTAAACAACTCGTCAAATATTAAATTAATTAGGAAATTGTAATCGTAATCTCAAAATTTATATTGAACTTATCAAGAACTTCTCGTATTGAAGGTAAGAAGAGTTTTTTTCTTTAAAAAATGTATCAACAAAAACAATAAATTATAAAAAAAAATAACTTAGCCAATTTGTTTCTATGGGAACCTTGGAGGTCAAACTCAGAATAATATTTTCTTCGTGACAGGAACAGTTGGATTCAGGATTGAGAACCAATTTTTCTCTTCACTAGTGATGATGGTTTCTACCAGAAACGGAACCAATTGCTTTACTTGATCAGGAGTGAATTTAATCGTTTCTTCGAAATTATTGAACAGGAACGGATATTTTTCTTTAATAGGAACAGGATGAATTGTTTTTTCAGAGTTGAACAGGAACGGATATAATTTTTTTAACTCGTTGACACGTTGATTTAATTAATTTTCAGCAGAGCAAAAAAAAATGTGTGTGTTTCTTTAGACAACAGGAAGCACACTCTTTTTGTTGATAAATTCCGTTTTTCGGATGTTAAATTTCCAAATAACCTCTCCTGATTGGTTAAATTTATGGATTTGGAATTTGTGTCTTAGTTTTTTCAATGTAGCCAACTTTGACATTTGAAATGTCTCTAATTCAATTTGTCAAATTATTATTTAAATTTTTAAAATTATTTATAATTATGCGTGATATTTCGTAATTTTGATGCTCTTTTAAATCAATTTTCAAATATCCATTCATTTTCTTCTGATCTCAACGATAAATTTTCCAATATGTTCAAATTAATTTTGTAAATTTTCATCCAAATTTCATTATTCCATACAAATATTAATTATTTTCTTTGTTAACCAAGTTAAGTTTATCGTTCTAAATAGGTTTGATCCGGGTAGATAAAGATTTAAATAAATAATTTTGAAAAATTTAAATTGAGGTTATCTGATATCGAATCTTTAAAATTACTTCGCATCGACTTTACAAGTGATAGTTTAGGATTAGAACATTAAAGAACAATAAAATGTACCGAAATTCACTAGCGTATAGTATCTAACATTATTTTATAATTGTTTAAAAAAAACTCTTCTACGATCAATACGATAATCAAACAAGACTAAATTACTGGTAATGGGTTATTATTACAATATATATATATATATATAATTAGACACTTTCAATTAATGGAGTAATAATTATTTTCATAAATTAGCCCATTTCAACGCGATATACAGTAAAACCTCGACTTACACGACCCCGTCTTACGCGTCCCCGTACTTACGCGGTTTTTTAACGATAGCGCTTTTAGGTTTTCGACATTGGAATTTATTTAAAAAAAGAGATCTAGACATGTTAGCTGCTTTTTTTCTAACTCTTACAGTTTCCGAGATAGCCCATTCGGACATCGAATTGGAACCATCCTGTACATACATTTTTTTAACAAAATTAATGTTTATTAATCCTTGATTTTATAATATATATTCATCGAATTTCGACTTACACGATTTTCGATTTACGCGGCTACTGTCAGTCCCACCTATCGCGTAACTACGGGGTATTACTGTAGTATTATATAATTTTTCTAGCTGATTTGACATAAAGCTATGTGTCTATATCTGTCATATATGTATAATTACTGCGTCGATTAATAATAATTTAAGATAGTGACAGAATATGATAATTGCAAGCATTATTAACTAGTAGTAGACAATGATCTTCTCACGACTTTAAATTCTCACTTATTAACCTAATAAACTCATTTCAAATTACTACAGAGGGCGCTCAAAGCGACTTAAAACGTTTTAAACTTAGTCTTGGTTTACTTCTTGCCCCGATTTCTCTTTTTATTTCGCTCCAGTGCATTAAAAAGTTACTGGGAAGTTACTAAACCTTAGAAAGTGATTCACATTTTGTTTTAATTTTTATCCAAGTATTTTTCAATCCGATTTGATGATGTGTGGTGGTTTTTTCAGTCAAGATCTTAAAGGCGATCATAATCAGTTGAAACACAAAGAAAACTTGTTGAAATCGCCGCAAAAAGTGACAAAAAAGTATCAAATGGATCTGGTAAGGTACCAAGCAACGCCGTTGGAGAATTCTCTGTTGAAATTTGAAGATCCAGAACTGAACACTTTAGCCGTAGAATGTTTTGAATGCATTTTGAGATATTGTGGAGATTTGCCTTTAACGCAAGATTTAAGTGAGGTTAAATGCGTCTACACTGTTTTAATGGTAAGTAAATTTGATATTTCCTTTTTGAACCAATAATCATTGATTAAATTAGTTTTTATAGTATAAAGAAAGTTAAACTCAGAATAAGAAATAGTATTAAAAAGTCTAATATTGAAATACTACAGTTTTTAAATAAAAAAGAATTGGTTTATATAACAAATTATAAATCCATTCATAATTTGGATAATAATTTTACTTAATATTAATATTCTAAAGATCTGCTGTAAATGCTGTAAAATGTCAATAATAATGTAACATAGTCATTAAAATCTTTCTGTAATCCATTATATTTTACTAGTTGAATGTTATTATGGAAATAGTGGTGATTAGTTAATAACAATTTTCCTGTCGTACTAGAATCGAGTTAAAGTCAACTTAACTTCTCAAAAAATATGTTTGAAATTTTTGAAACTATTATAAATGTTAACTGAAACACCAAGAAAATTTAGGAATTGATGAAAAAAGTGATTATGAATTAATTGGTAATTATAGGGTTTACATTGAGATTAATCATTTGTGTTTTTTAGTAGTCTATTAGACAATTTTAATAAGTTTGATGAAACTAAAGTCGCCTTGGCGGCAAATTTTTAGACAATATTTTTAATTAGTCAACATTTGGGAAACATCATTAAACCCACTTTCAACTCAATATGAGATTTGAAATACCATAATTCAAACTTTCTTTTTTTTCATAGCGGCCGTTATTAACTTCGATCCAAAACTCCTCCAAACAATTGTTTTCAAATAAAAGTTTTGTTTTAATATACCGGGTGTCCCATTAGGGGTACGGAGCGGCTGTATTTCCATAACGGTAAGGCCTAGAGGTTTGGGAGAAACATCTTTATAACCAAAGTATGACCAAGAGAAATAGATGGAAATTATTTTGAAGTTCGTAATCCGACCGCTAGGGGACGTGACTGTCATAGAGAAACATAAAATTCCCGCCATTTCAAAAAGTTAGTTGACGAGCTGTAATGTTTATACTTTATTGTAAAATCATATGGTTGTAAACGTATTCGAAGTCTCTGTAACTGCAATGGAGTTTCACATATTGGTTTTTTGAAAATCTGCTCCAATGGTTTATGATCACTTTCTATAATAACAGTTCTACCATAAATATATTGATGAAACTTCTCACAACCAAATATTACCGCAAGTAGTTCCTTCTCAATTTGAGCCCAGATCTTCTGACATTCAGTCAAAGATTTTGATGCGTATGCACTGGATGGTTATCTTGCAAAAGAACAGCACCTAAACCTGTAGTATTACTATCTACTGACAAAACAATTTCCTTATTTTTATCAAAATACTTCAAAACTGGACTACTCGTTAATTTATTTTTTAAATTTAAAAATTCATTGGAATGTTTATGATTCCACACAAATTGGATATCATTTTTTAGTAATTGTCTTAATTGATAACCGTATCTGTATCTATTTGTCCTCTAAAGAGGCAGTAGAAAATTTTATTATATCTCATGACGGGATTACAGTTAACGGTAAATTTCTTTCCGCTAGACGACTGGTTTCAACGGCTAAAAGAGTGGTCATATCAAATGTTTCTCCCTCACTACCACACGAAGTAATAGAAAAAGAATTAAAAGCTTTAGGGTTGCAAATGGTATGGTCAATTACTTTTATTGGCGCTGGAATTAATAAGCCAGAATACCGCCACATATTAAGTTTTCGTAGACAAGTGTATTTGATACTAGAGGCTAACACTGCCCTTCCCAGTTCTATATTAATCGAATATGAGAAAAACACTTTTAGAATATTTTTGGCAACGGACGAAATACGCTGCTTTATTTGTAAAAAGGCGGGCCATATTGCCAATCGATGCACTTCCAAAAGTAATGCTGACATTGGTGAAGGGGTTACCGTTGCAGATGTTTACTCTCCTCCCAATGTCAGTTACGTCAGTAAGCGCTATATCAGACAGTGATGTGATTTCAAATTCAGTTAAAAAAATCACTAGCGGTTCTAATCTTAACGACAAAATGATTTAACTTCCCAACGTGACATTGTCAATATTGTCAACAAGGACACCATTGTCATTGACGATGATTTTGAAATTGTTAAAAAGCGTGGCAGAACTCCTTCATCAATTGGATCTGAATCCAAAGATGTTGGGAAAACTCCAAATAACCCTACTCCTGTTACGGATTTTGTTAAACCCCGTCCTAAAAAGCGCAAAGAGGAGACAACGACGATACAAAGAGGATATAGCTGACAACCACACTGATTCCGAATGTTTTTCCGAATTTAAGGAACTGTTCGCTAATGAAATGTTTATTTCATGTGACAACTTCTGTAAATTTATCACTGATTCCAAAGGCAAACAGGACGCAAACGCTGTAGCTTAACTTTATTCTGAAGATATCGATTCTCTGTGTGAGTTGCTAGTTATGGTTATACGTGTAATACACTTAAAGCTCGTTTAAAACGGCTACTTAAAAAACTACGGTCTAAAGGTAGTTCATCTAATGCTGGTTCAAGGTGTGGATCTCAAGATGACTATTCTTCTGATTATTCTACGTATTAATTTTTTATGCCTCCAATTAAGATTATGCAATGGAATGCGCAGTCGGTGCGCTCAAAAAGAGAAAACTTGGAGCAATTACTTCTTGATTTTGATATTGATGTGGCACTCATTTCTGAAACCTGGTTTAAGCCTGATACGATAGTTAAATTTAAAGGTTACAATATTATTCGAGACTACAGAGCGGATGGTTATGGTTGTGCGGGGATTTTTGTTCGGAAATCTATAAGGTTTAATAACATGAATTGTCAACTAAATGTTCAGAACTTAAATGTTTGTGGAATTCAATTAGCTGATTTAGACATTTTCATTTGCTCTGTTTAAGATGGAGCTAATATGTAATGCGATGATTACCATAAACTGTTCTCTATTTCTGCTCCCCTCTTGATAGGCGGTGACTTTAATGCACACCATACTGCGTTTGGCTCCTCTAAGAATAATCATGCTGGTAATGTGCTTTTGAAGTCCATAGATTACCACGAACTTCTATACTGTAATGACGGATCTCCTACCCGTATAACTAGGCCCGGGGAGGGTGCCTCTGCTGTCGACGTCACCATTTTATCTAGCGACATAGCTCACAAAGTAACGTGGGAGGTTTTGGAGGACTCCTTTACTTCTGATCACTTTCCTATTTTTATTCAGTATCACTCTTCCGTTTCTTTATCTCAAACAATATATCCTAAAAACAAATGGAAAATTATACCGGAAAAATTAAATGATTTTACAAGAACTATCACAGAAAATTTTGATTCTACAAAAATTCATCTTCCTCTTCAAGATCGTTATTCTTATTTAGTTCGGCTGATGACCGAAGCTGCCAATTCTGTTTTTGCATGCAGGCGACCATACAGAAGAACATCCAAAACGTCACCGCTTTGGTGGGATGAGGAGTCCACTAAAGTTATTAAAAAGAGGAAAACTGCAATTAAAGTGTACAAGCAGCACCCCATCCTGGATAATTATGTTAAGGTGCTAGAGACTATGGCCTACGTCAAACGATTTCTGAAGGCGAAGAAACGGAATAAATGGAAAAATTATTGCAGTAGTTTAAATAGAAGCACACCTGCAAAAGAAGTATGGGATAATATTCGAAGATTTTCTGGGTTGCCTGGCAGATCTACTGCTTTTCTTATTAGTGAGGATAAGCTGCAAGATTTTCTGAATTCATTGACTCCCTCCTTTGTGTGCCTAATAACCTTCTGCTTAGGTATACTGACCCATACCTCCCCCTACATTTCATGATGACTCCTGTTACCTCCCACGAGCTACAAAATACTTTTTCTTTTCGCAAATCTACAGCGCCTGGTATTGGTTATATCACCTACGATCTTATAGAACGTCTTCCTCTGGATGTGAAACTGGATTTTTTATTGGGCGTTTATAATGAGATGTGGGCTGCAGGCAATTATGTTAAGGAATTCAAAAATATTGTAGTTGTGCCCATCCCAAATAACGGCTCGTCTTGTGGGGCAGATTCTTTCCGGCCCATTTCACTACTGTCGCGTTTTTTGAAAACATACGAGCGATTAATAAAACGCGCCTTGAATGGTGGCTAGATCAAAATAAGATCCTGCCTTGTCAACAATATGGCTTCAGAAAATCGTTTAGTTCGCTGGACACGGTAGCAGATTTGGTTACCGAGGTTCAACTTGCTTATTCAAAAAATCAATATTGCGGCAGTTTATTTCTTGATTTGAAAAGCGCATACATTCGGTAAACCTGGACTTATTGGAGCAAAAGATGAACTCTGTGAGACTTTCAGCTAAAGTGGCACGTAGTATTGTAAACATCTTTCGCGATCGAGATATTTATGTCCGAGACCACAGAGGTAATTTTATCGGTCTTAGGAAGCTCTCTCTTGGTGTGCCTCAAGGCTCCATTCTCAGTCCGATTCTTTTCAATATTTATTCCATTGATTTTCATGAGCGCCTGGGGAGTACAACCAAAATCATTCAATATGCTGACGATTTTTGCCTTGTATCATCTAAAAACACTTTAAAGGATTTCAATCACAATCTTACAAACACAGTCAGTATTCTAAAGAGGTGGATAGAGGATAACGGGATGATGGGAACTTGCAGCCAATAAGTCCGCATTCTTGTACTTTTCTCGACACAGAAATATCCCTTTAGGTAACATAAAGCTAGATGATATCATCTTTCCCATTGAGAATTGTATAAGATATTTAGGGATTATGATAGATAACAAATTAACATGGCGGAGACATATTGATTACATTATCGGGAAATGTGAGAAAACTATAAACATATTCCGTATTTTTGTGAAAATAAAGTGGGGCGCAGATTTTCAGACGACACATAATTTCTATAAAAGTTGCATTAGGTCGCATTTGGACTTTGGATGTACTGTATACGCTAGCGCGAGGGTAATACAGCTTGAGCGCATTTGGGTCATTCAGAGCAAAGCGCTTCGAATTTGTTTAGGCGCAATGAAGTCTA